ATGAGCGCAACAGCTTTGTTAGATTTGCTCAAATTTGATTCGTGCGATTCAACAGCAAAACTGTTGGCATGGCACCTGAAAGGAATGCCAGGCTTCCGCAAAATAGCTATCAGCAAGAGAGGCACTTGTCCTTGATATACCGAAATTGAAGTCAGAAGAGACGCATATTACTTGATATTACTTGCCTCTTTCAGTGAAGCTCTTTGCCTTTCGTACAACAAAATGTATCTCCGGTGTCAATGCCTGAGGAGACTCAAGTATTAAGGACCAGCTTGGTATGGATTCTTAATAGATCTTAATAGCATCTATGACAACATGTCGCTTCTCGATTTTCAGTAGGGAGAAGTCCTCTTATGCCCAGACAGAAAGCCTGTGCTTCGTCTACGAGACAAAATGAGACAAATGATTGTCTGCACCTTGAAATGTCTCCGGCACGGCAACGCCAAACATCATCAAACAATCCCAACGAGGACTGTGAAAGATAGCAAAAACGAATTCATGAAATCCTGCGACATAATGTGTCATATACGGTACATTCATCGCGCAGCACCGGTCGCTGAAGCTGAGTGGTCAAAAACCAGGCTCCAGAAATACATCAAAAGGCCGTAAATAGTGCCACTTAGCATCGAGGCATATCGAAGCATCGCGCATGCAAGACAAGGTTCAAGCATCGTTAAGCATCGGTGATTTGACATTCCATGGCATTCCGCGTCCACCGGTACTCTACAGTAGGAGCTAATGTACAGCATCATATTGATACATAGTTGTACATATTTGTACATATTTGTACATACTATTCGACATATCCTTGCTGTTTATTTCTGTTTATTACATACATGGTACAATGACTATAATGACGCATAATGATGCTAATAATGCACATGTAAACTTCCTAAATTCTGCGCATCTCCATGTCAAATCACCGATCCTTGTCGCAGCGGCTCAATACAGAGCTCAGGAGTGTCTGCTCAGTTCCCATTGAGAACATGGAGACTTCGACTGAGAAAGCTGAAAACTTCTTAACCTTCTGAGGTCATCTTTATGACTGACGCAGGTGCCTCGAAGCGGCTCGATTTGCAAAGAAGATTTAAGGACTTCACTAAAGACTCCACGTATAGAATTAGTCTAAATGGATTCTATAGTAGTCTATAATATTCTATAGAATATAATTTGAATATTATAGAATATTATAGAATCCATGTCCAATCCCTTGAGGCAGTGGACCGTTGAGCAAAGTGAAGTGGCGCTGCTCTAGTCACAATCGCCCCCAAATCTGAGCTCCGGGGCAGCACTACCATTGGCTGGAGACCGATCACCTTGGTGGACGGCATGAAACATATATGAAACATATGAAACGTATCAGGACAGTCATGTGAAACAATATCAATATCAAACAGGACACAAAGCGAAACAAGATTTCATACGTTTGGCTGAGCCTTGCACCCTCCAAGTTGGGCAAAGATCGGCGTCGCTGCGTCTCGTTGAACCAAGTGTTGGCCAACGCCTCCTTGGCCGTCGGCCGTTCCCGTTCATTGCTGTTCAGCATGGCCTTGATCAGCGCGCAAGCCTCGAAATTGCATCGAAATTGCATCGGTTTTTTCTCGGAAAAATACAGATACCACATGATACCACAGCAAATGTTCAGAATGTTACAGAATGCTGCGAGAGTGTTCCAATCAGGTCTCCGGTTTCCGCACTTGAACACCATGCCAGCAAATCACAATGCAGAATGCAAAAGACCTGAATAGCACCTGTTTGATTGTTTTCTTTGTTTTTTTGAGTGTCTGCCTGCGGCTCGAGGCTGAAAATGCGGTGGTTCCAATCGATCTTGTAGTTCTGCAGCTTCTGACGAATCTCCTGACCATCTGATGGCACAAGGATTGCACAGGGCATGATGTATGCATATGTATGATACATATGCCATAAGTATGTGTATGATACATATAACTATATTATACGTATATGTATGTTGTACAGTATGTATATATATATATTATACTATACTGTATAATATTGGTAACCTCAAAAACTGGCTCCACTCACCATTGGTTCCTTCATCTTCGGAGAGCCAACCCAGTTGTCGCCGGCCTGCAACGTCGTTATTGAAATTGAAGTTTCTACAGAAGTTGAATTCGCAAAGAAACGGTATGAAAACTGGTAAAAGCTGCTCCAGAATCCATCCCATACCTCATCGTCAAAGATCTCTGCTCTGTATGGGAATTTTGCAGTAAGCAACCTGACATCTGCAGAAGTTCAATATGGCAGCTTTTGACTATAGCAAAGCGGTGACAATCTGCTCATTCGTGATTGATTGGTTTTCACTCTTGGCTTCCAACCGGTATCCAATCACACCCACTGCGAAAATGTCTGAAGCAGCGGAATAGTTTCCGTCATAGGCCTTCAAGGAAACAAAAGCACTTGCTGCCCCGTTCTAAGCCTTTCCCTTTATAACGGTTTTCATTGATGTCAAAATATATATATATATCCACCTCAATGATGTCTTGGTGCCATGTGATTACTAGTATCAATAGAAAGATATAGAAAGCAATCAAAAATGTGCTGATGTCAAGTGCCTCTTGTGCAATGTACTGATCTGTACCAAGCACATCCTGGCCAAGCGGATCCAACTGCCATGAAGCGGCATCGCGACGTCAGTGCTGACTCTGCAAGTCTGAGTCAAATCATGTCAAATCAGGATGGAAAAATCATGTCAAATCATCTGATTCCCTTGAAAAAAGTGGAAAAACTGTAGTCGAACGAAGTCGAACGAAGTTGAACGAAGTTGAACGAAGTTGAACGAAGTTGAACGAAGTTGAACAGAAAAAAGGTCAGAAGTTGACGTCGTATCGCGTGCCTTCGCCTTCTTCGGGGTTTGCGGCTGCACCGTCTCCACCGTATCAAAGTCAATCAGCTTCACCTGCGATGACAGTCAAAACAAATCAAAAGCGTCTGTGAAGTGCATCCTGCACTGCCTGCACGTGAACATTTAAAACGATGTAAAACGGTGTAAAACGTGTATTGTTTTAGGTTGCTTCGCAACGACAACTGTAAAAAAATCGGACCAATGAGTTGCAGAGATGTGCAGAGTTGTAGAACTCCGCGCCTTCACTGGAGATTGGTTGCCGGACAGCGTATCCCAATCTGCCTTTGCATTGGCCGGTGGAGTCCTGTGGCCGTTTTCGAACTGCGACTGTCAGTTTGTATTGAAAGTAAGAGGCATGAAGATCTTTTGAAACTGAGGATGGAACCTGATAAAGAGACAGAAAAGATAGTGAAAGGAGACCAAATGAACCATTCCGGCATTGCATATATTCAATGTGCACCAGTTGAAAGCATTTCAAGTCCTGTCAAACATCACGTTCTCCAGCTTAAGATCCTGCAAATAGGAACGTCTCCACACGTCATATTTGTAAAGGTGCCATCGAGTTCAAGACCGACAACCTCGAAATACTTAGACGACATCGATTTGACCAAATATGTACTTTACAAATATGCACTACAAGTAAGCCTACAAGTCCTACGGGCCGTAGACTACGCGGATTTGATCCCAGTCCTTATGGATGCAATTCCGAGCGTGAAGTTCTGCCAGGGCCTTGGGATTTCAGTTGGTCCATTGGGATTTGTACCAAATTGGTCAGGATTTGCAGTTATTTTATTATATATACGTATATAATATATATATATAATTATATATAATATACATGTTACAACGCATACACATCCCCATGAATATTACATGTTCCTTTGTCGGTTGCACAACCATTTTCTGCACTTATTTGTCAATGTCCATCTTGGCCCATCCGCGCCTGCAAAAGTTGTTTGATCACCTCCTTGACCTCTGCCACGGGCAACAAACCTAGCGCAGAAACACAGGGCACTTGATGCTTCAAGCGAGGTGAACATGGCACCCCAAGTGCAAAAACCATGTTTAAAATCAAAAAAAACATTGGCTTGATAGTTTCACTAGCACCAGAATTCACTCCAAGCGGACATGTGGTCTCTCTGCTTTGCTGAATTTTCTGCCCGTTCTGGCCTTTCCCTGTCATGGTCTCAAACAGGTCCTGCATGTAAATGCTGGCGGCTGGTTTACCGTAGGTGCGTTTTTTTGGTTTTTTTGGCCGGTGGGGTGGGGTGGGTTGGGGGTGGGGTGGGTTGGGCTAATAACGTTCAATGGCACTAGCACACATACCTGATGCTACGCTACCGACCTCGTCTCGTGCACTTGCACACATACCTGATGCTACGCTACCGACCTCGTCTCGTGCACTTGCACACATACCTGATGCTACGCTACTGACCTCATCTCGTGCACTTGCACACATACCTGATGCTACGCTACCGACCTCGTCTCGTGCACTTGCACACATACCTGATGCGACGCTACCGACCTCGTCTCGTGCACTTGCACACATACCTGATGCTACGCTGCCGACCTCGTCTCGTGCACTTGCACACATACCAATGGCAATGGCGCTGGGAAAACAGTGCCTGTGCCAATCTGAGCCGTTTGACAGCCGAGACTCTTCTAGCGAACATGCAGTGAAAGTGCTGCGCCAGAAAAATACCGAAAAGTCCGATTTTTTTGTTTTCTCCCTGTGGCGAAACGCAAATCCATCAAAAAACAAGGCATCCTGAAACAGCCTCTTTCTATTCCTGGCGTTCACAAAAGCGTGCAAATACAAGTGAAAAATGATGAAAAAATAAAACACAATGGAATTAGCCACATTTTCTGACCAAACATGATGATGATTGCTTCAAAAGTCCTGCAAATACCAAGAGATAAACATGAAGGTCATCATAAAGACTCTTAAGAAAATGACAAAACACACGCGCGATAAACCAGGCGCCGGGATGTAAATGTAGGAAACAAACTGGATCTATTGAATCTATTTCGTGTCCACTGTGCATGTGCAAATAATATCAAATAATATGTTTTGGTGCAGTTCCATAGGTAAATTGATAATCATGCCAATCCTCTCTAGCTTGAAAGGGTGCGTCAGAGAACAAAAGTTGCGCTGCATTGTTGAACAAGAGCGGCAGCAGCAGCAGCAGAAGCAGCTAAACTTCCTTCAGCCACTACTGCCACTACTACCACTACTACCACTACTACCATTACGACGACGACGACGACGACGAAACTGTATCTAGTTTGGGACTATGCTCCAGGCCTCAAGCCCCACGTCACAGCTTTATACTGAGGCTCTTGTGTGGGCAGCCCGGATGTGCGAAGCAAATAAAGGAATACACCGGCACCATTGATGTTTGGACTGCTTTGCTTGGTCGTGACACAGGTATGCGGTATGCACGGATTGTTGGCGCCGACACACTGGGGCCAAGTTCACTCCTGGCCAGCCACTTTCTCCATGATCACATAGTAGCCCTTCCTGTCTTCGAGCACCTGGGCAGGCTTGGCTTCACAAAACGCTGCAATTTGGATGGCTAGTACCAGTGCTACCAGTGCTCTTAGCTGAATAATCTGAATACAGCTGATTAACATCACTAGGAACCTGCTTCTCCCAAAGCCACCTTCACGACCAATCTTGATGCTGTGGAGTTTCTCCTGTCACCTTACCTTTCACCTTTCTTATTCTTTCTTCCTTTTCTCTTTCTTGGTCCCCTCTCGAGTCACGGAATGAAGCCTCGTAGAGTTTGGCAATGCCCTCAGTCTCTGGGAGGTTCAGCATGAACTCTGTGTTGTGACGCCACTCCTGGCGAGTTGCTTGCATGACATTCATCGCTGATCTCCAAATTATCTCCAAATTATTCATAACATGACATCTCAAATTATAGTATCTTATAGTACTCAGTACTGCATATAGGTTACTGACAGCGACGGTAACGACCAGCAAGGCCAAAATGTACGGGGAGACGACTGATCTCACTTGATGTTTTGATGACAGATAACTGAGATAACTGAGATAACTGAGATAACTGAGATAACTTTCACATCCCAAATCCTTTAACACTCTGGCTGAGAGCCCATCTGGGTACAAAGGAATAGAAAAAGGGAGATGTCTGGACTCACCAGTCACATATGTCACATGCACCAGAAAACGAAGCATTCCAAAAGTAATTTCATATGTTACATGCTTTGTTTCAGCAATGGCAATAACAATTACAATGACAATCATGAGGACAAATTGCAATGACAATACACCTTGCAGCTCTCACAGCGCTGTCGTACTATGTCAAGTCCGCAAGCAAAGAGCCAGCTGCGCCCTTTCTTCGGCCCGGTCCACAAAAGAGTTCGCTTTCGCACGAACCTGACATGCCAACAAATGTTGGACCTTTGCGATGAAAATGATGAAAGGCAAGGCATGTGACAGCGAAGCTTCTGAGATGTTCAAAAGCGTTTTCTGGTTGGCTTATGTTGGCTTATGTTGGCTTCTGCGAGGCCTTGACGACGACTTCCATGCCATCCTCCACGCCTTCGACGGAAAGTCTCTCAACCAAATTGGCAAAGCAAGCGTACGCGACGTATCCGGAGAAGCCACAGAATCCGCCGAAGCTTCGAAATGCTTCAAAGCTGGGCATCCGGACGCTTTGCAAAAACAACAGACATACCACTGTGACTGGATGGCATGACCTGTGTCAGCGCAAACGGAAGTTCCAACGCTCACGAGTTGAACTTCAAGAGACCTTCTGACCTGCCATGACCTGCCATGACCTGCCATGACCTGCCACAAGTTATACACGTGTCATACCCTTTGCCACGTGTTATTACCATATATTACCATATATTACCTGTACTGCTCACAAGTGTTTTGGCTGGATGATACTTGACATGAAAGTGGCTGACACACTGAGAGACCAACGGTTTCTCCAACCTTATAGTGGTTGTGAATAGAATCAACGGCCTTGATTCGCCTGGCCAGGAAAAGCTCAAAACAATCTGCAAGTGGAAGATAGTGGAAGTCTTGGGACCGTAGAAACTGAATGGAACTGATGTAAGGCTGCACCGGCTTCACTCACTTCGCACTTCGTGCAGCGAGGAGCGGATCTCAGATCTCAACGGCCCCAACGGCCCCAACGGCCCCAACGGCCCCAACGGCCTCTTCTCCTTCCTCTTCGGTTGCTCTTTTTTGGTGCTGATCGACAAAGGCGCCCCACCCTGGCCGTGTGGCCCATGGCCGGTCGAATGCACCCACTTCAGGTTGCTGAGACATGTCAAATATGTCAAAATGTTCAATCACAGAAAAATCAGAAAAGTCAAAAGGCAGGGCAAATAATGGGCAAATAACGTTCCAGCGCGGAGAGTGCCAACGCCTTCGTTCCAGCTGCTAGAGTCGGCTGGAATCCACGACGCGCTGCAATCCTCAGATCAAGAAGACTGTGAAGACTTGCTGTTTCTGGAATTGCTTGCGACCTCGAGCGGACCTGCAGTATCCTGCAGTCATATCAGCCATGCTTTGGACTGCCACGTTGAATACGGCTGATTGGGTCACACCCAACCAGACATCTCTTGGTCAGACATTAAGAACGCCTTTTCAAAAGTGTTTCTGAGTTCGGAACGAGCTTGTCCCACCACTTTGAACAGGTTTCCCCGATTTTGGTGACATATCCATTGATTTCGTTCCAGCTTCTGCTGCTCCAGCCAAGCCCTGAGCTTTGAAACACTACACATGACAAAATATGACAAAACATGTGTTTTCATTTGTTTTTCTCATTCCAGGTGCAACTGCCTATGACCAAAAAAATGCATCTCGGTTCTGTCATTTGGATCGGTTCAGCTTCTCTGTTCTAAGTGCTCAGCTTCGCCAGCCCTGAGATATGTTTGTGGATTCAGAGTTCAGTGATGCAAAACGCTAGAATCGCAAAGGATGCATAATATGGAAGAGCAAACAAACGCAGAGTTGATAGGGGAAGACTTCGAGACTGTCGAGCAAGGCTGGTTGTCTCTTGTCGACTTGAGAACATCGAGACTGGGGCGAGGTTTTGGATGATTTCGCCATTCGCATTCTATGCGTCTAAGGGGCTTCGGCGACATTCCCTTCATCGACGGGCTTCCTGGCAGCGCTGGCCACAGATGGCCACAGGAAGAGAGTAGACATTCAACTAGACAGCTGAGACTCGGCTATGACGCTACGAGATCTGAAAAGCTGCTGAAACTTTCAATGAGGATATTTGCATCGAAGAAAACGACCCTCCCTATATCATGTGTATATAATATATATATATACACACATACATATATATATGTATACACACACATTGATATGAACTGTATCACTGCTACACCTCCAAATAGCGCGGTCTTTGTACGGCTGATGGAGACATACGAATGTCTTAAATCTGTCAAATGATCTCAAATGTCTGTCATAGAATCATCAGAATATTCCAAGACTTCAAGATGCACCACGTGTTATTCCAACCGATTCCAACCATTTGGGATCTCCCCGTTTCCAGCACAGGCCTTTCACAGACACTTCAGCTTTCATGGACAAGTCCGGTGATCCCTGCAGGTGTCAACGCTGGGATTTCATTTGCTTAGTTGATCAACTGGTCAACTGCAGGTTTTATGCTGCCTTCAGGCAGTTTCTTAGCACAGTATTTGGTCTCTTAGGAGCAGGCAGGTGACTGTGTGCTGAGGCCTGCCGCTGTCCAGTCGATGCATCAATTGCCAGAAACTTGCCATACACACTGATAAAAAAAACGCTGAGAGTTCTGAGATGCATCCTTCACGTCACAAGAAGAAATAACTCATATATATATATTATCATCACTCATCATCATCATCATCATCATCATCATCATCCTGGTACAGCATCTGACAGCCATGTAGGCACCTGATGATTCTTCTGATGTGATGCCTCAATGCAGTAACGTCTCAGGTCATTCACTGTCAGCTCACTGTCAGCTGATCTCTCGCTTCGGATTCTGGTCCTCACTGTTATTTCTTTCGGGGTCCAAATTCACTGCAAACTTGAAACCAATGCTTCAACACTGGTTGCCTTACCAAGCTCAATCTTGAATTCTGTGCTGGCTATACCATTCATTCACGATGATCTGAGACGCGTGCCATCGCGATATGTGGTATTGCTGCCTTTCAACTCCTCTGGAGAGACATGGCAGCAAGGAGTGCTCCTGAGCGACACGACTCACGGAACGTGTCGAATGTCAACCTCTGAAAGCTGAGCATTGACGGCATCAGCAGCATTGCCAGCATTGCCAGCATTGCCAACATTGCCAGCATTGCCAGCATTCGGATTTCGTCAAAGCGGCCAACATTTGAGATTTCCTCTGTGGTTGTCCCGCCTTCCAGAGCCCATTGAGTTGCTGCTACCGAGGGCTTGCAGCCTGGCCCAGGGAATCCATGGACTGGCTTTCGGGACAGCGACAGCGACAATACACACACCATGGAGCCAATGTCGCAGATGTCAAAGCAGCAACTCAAAGTGCCGAACTGTTTGAGTTGATAAAGCTGCTGTGGATTGATGAAACTGATTGAAACTGTTTGAAACCATTCTGAAACCAATCCAAGCCATGTCAATCTGAAAATAGCGGGACGATGCGGGACGATGCGGGACGAGGATTCAGTGGCACCGCTTGGCACCGCTTGGCACCGCTTGGCACCTCAATCGACCCTTGTCACTGAGGGATGCGTTGCTCGAGCGATGACCCTGGCGTTGCTGCTCGGTGCCACGGTGCTCTTTGCAGTGTTTCGTGGTCTCTCCCCTCTGCATCCCTCTGCCCTCTAACTTTGACTAAGATGACTTGGAGCATCAACAACTAGGTCATACTAAGTCAGTGTCAGGACTTTGAGCATCTGAAAAGATATTATCTTAGTGTTCAAGCCTCTAGAGTCTAGAGTATTCCACGCCAAGGCATGTTTTGAAAGTGGCTCTTGAAGTGTGAGGAGTATTAGTATGGCCATAGACATTTGACATATAGCAACCGTGTACTGCAGAAAGGTACCAGTACTGAGTCTCCCAGGCGTTTTGAGTTGGGCTTGCAGATCCCGTTCCACTTTGAGACAAAGCCTGAAGCGCACTTTTTTCAAAGTATTCGCTCACCCCAAGCGCAACGTGTTAAGGCAAAAAAGTAGTCATACATTGATATTTCTGTATGGTTTTTGTAAAGAACCAGCGGATGGTGCACATCTTCGCTAGAAAGACTGGCTTTGAGCCTTCCTCAAAAATGGGGTTTTCCTTAGGGGACCCCATCTTGGACACCATGTTCATGACAAGAACGAATGTCAGACATAAGTCGAAGCTCGGAGACTGTTCTAAAGCTTACAAAGCTTACAAGCAAAAAAACCGGCGGAGGACCAGACCGTTTTAGGAGCCTTTTGGAAACGAAAATACAAGGAAAAATATGGGAAAGAATGCTGGTCCAAAATTGGGAAATGAAATCGTAAATGTAGCAAGCTCTCAGAGCCCGACTGCACTGTGTGACGGGTCCTTTTGTCCAACCTGGGCTGTTGCCGTGCCGGTGAAAAAAGTGGCTCTGCCTTCGGAGTAAGCTCTGGTAAATGGGGACTCCTGATACCCATGTCAAGACAGGAAATAAGAAAGTCTCACATTGTCTAATACATTCTAATACTCTCATATCTGGTACTGATCTTACTGGAACCACCACTCACATCACATCGCCTTGCACAAGACCTGTGAACAGTTTATATGTTCAGCGCCTTCAACCACCGCCTAAGCACCCCCTACAAGTCAATAAAGTTGTGCATCCAAAAGGCAGACATTGAGACAGTATCCGGGTCGGCTATGATGTTGAGCCCAATGGCAAGGCATGTCCAACACATGGTGCCATTATTCTGCTTGGCTACATGACACCTTCAACCTCTCTGAAAAATGTTAGTCACTTGCCTAGAGCAGTCGAACTATTTAGAATCATGTCATCTGTTCAAAATCAAAATCAAAATCAAAATCACATCATCTATCAATGCAGCGTTCAATGCTGTGCTTCTCCCCTCAGCACTGGTCACCGTGAGGAATGTTGGATCTTTACGCGGCCGTCATAGCCCAGCATCCAACTGTGAGGCATAGATTCCCAGGCAAGGCCCTGACAATCAAAAGCTAACTTCAGGGAAGTTCTAATGTTATATGATGAATATTCATATATATATAATATCTAAATATATAATGTATATTATATATATTATATTATATTATATTATATTATATTATATCATATTATACTATATTATATTATATTATATATCTGTATACATACCATTACAAAATCTGCAAAATTCTCACGTCTCTAGTGAACACACTGTACATCTGTGTCTGGGACCGTGATGATTCTGGGACTACTTCATACTTCCATGGCTTCCGCATCGGCACCGCATCAGCACTTGGCCTCGTAGAAGCCTCCCAGGTCTGGTTCCAAGCTGCAGCTGAGCGATGGATGGACGCCAACACCTCGCAATTGCGTTGCTCCATCGTGCATCTTGTTGCTATTTGTTGCTATTTGTTGCTATTTGTTGCTTGTTGATCTTCGGGATTCCTGCAATTCTTGTGTGCAACTCCTGCCTATGCCGAAGCCATCTGACCAGGTGGAATCTACTTGCTCAATGCGAACCTGTCCCGAGAGAACCGAGAGAACCAAGAGAACCGAGACACCAAAATTCAAACAGAACCGCTTCTCAAACTGCGAATTCCTCAGCTCTCAGAGGCAAGACCTCGAAGAAGCGCCCGTAGACAGTCTTCCTGCACGAGAGGATAACTGTGCTGCTTGTGCTGCTTGCATCATGTCATCATGACATGTCATGCATCGCATCTGGAACATTCCCGACACGTGTCCTGAGCATCTGAGCCGAGGTCAAGAAACCTCCGCAAATGTGCTTCAAAATCAGGTGCTACAGGTAAACAAGACTGGACTTAGTGACTAGACTGCATAAATCTTATAACATCATATAACCAATATAACCTCGATCATGCCGGATCAGCGATGAAGCACCTCCATAGCTGCTGTTGTTCCAGGAGGCACCCCGCTGGTCCGGTGAAAGGGCCACTGTGCGCGCCTAGAAGACGGGATGAAGAGACTTGACGAGCACGAAAAATATATTCGTGACTCATGATTTTTTCACATTGTGACTTATCTAGTCACTGTAGTCACTTGACATTATGACATTAAATCAAAATAGCAGTCGGAAAAAATTGCTCAAATCGCATGAATCGGAAGTTGACTGTCATGCTTCTTAGCCTCATGACTCTGACATTTAGCTCTGACATTGCCAACCTTCCAAGTGATGTCGAACCAAATGTTGCCATGCCTCGAAGTCCCACTGCAGAATGCGAAAAAGAGACGACAACACCAGTCCGTGATGTCCGTGCTCTTTTCAGTCTTTTGGGAGAGACGAGTGGATTTGCTCTGAGGTCCCAAGCGGTTCCTTAGGTCTATCCCCATCTGCTTCCCATGGCTCTGGATCCTGAAACCCAACAAATATCAACAAACAAGTATCAAAAAGCGACGGATTTGTCAAGTTTGTTCTTTTTGATTTTTCGTTTATGTTCTTGGTTCCTCTTGATGACCCTGGACATTGTCAGCCCCTTGTTCAACTGTCCTCCTTTGATGTTGTTAGTTTATGCTATCTGTGTTTCTTCTGATTACTAGTCTTCCCTAGCCTCTCTTGATGTGACTGTTAAACAGGGCAATAGGACCCAAATTTCTCCATCCTGAGTCCTTTCTTTCCGTTGGCTCTTCTTTATAGTCATTCAAGTTCACCGCTAAGGCGCTAAGGGGCAAACGTGGCGTGGCCGCAGCTTTCTTCCTGCAAGATATTCTGCAAAGTTGCAGCCAGTCAATTGCATCTTATTGATAGACAAGATCAAGTATGTGGTGTGTGTGTGTGTGTGCGTACACTTTTCTGGAAAAGCAGTCAAAGAAAGAAAAAAAATGCAACAATACAGTGTCTATCGTGGCGAAAAGGTATTAGAAGCACCAACAGGTATCAACACCTCCAACATCTTACTACTTGAAATACAAATTTTAGACGTAGTGAGAATCCAAGCGCTCACAGACTCCCAATCCTTTGAAACTGCTGGTCAAACCAAGCAAGTCCGGGAATTCCGGAGGAGGACGCCTTCAGATCGGCAGGGTTTTGGCATAGTAAGGTGTTCTTATGTGTTCTTATTGCATGCGTTTCAATACTAATATGATTCATATGATCATCCCTACACCTTTTCTTATGCGTTTTATGATGTTTAATGCGTGTCATAGAATAATCACTAAACAGATCACATCATATTTATATATATTTATTATGTGTTCTGTTTCTTTTGCAATTTTTGCTTCATAGATCTTCATAGCTCGGCCAGGGCGGCCAGGGCCTTGGAGAGGACAGAGGCCCACCTGCAAAGCTCAACGAAGCCCTTCTTGAGGGATGAAAAAACAACCTGCCTACCGGTTGTGAAAGGCAAATATAATCAAATATACGCCTTTCAAATGTTTCCTATTCTGTGTGGGCACCAAACTCAAAACTCTGAGCTCATCTGAGCTCCCAGCTGATTTTCGAGCTCATCTTGACCTGTCAGATCTGTCAGTGGCCCCGTCATGTCATCCTTCCGGCAGCCCCTTCTGGACGCCCATTCTGAGGTCACAACTGTTCCACTCCAATTACTGGACTGGCAAAATGAGGGGATTGAAACAGCGAGCGAAACTGTCGAACTTCATTTACAGTATGCGTCGCGGTCGATCTATGACAGTCTAAGTCTCTAAGTACAATCCGGTCTTGAGGCGCTCCCATCATTTAGTCAAATTTAGTCTGCTAAATCCTGTCACATAGAACTGGCTGGAATCCCTTGAGAACACAGCTTCTGACCCAAAAGGGAGCTTCACATCTCTGGCAAAGCCTGGCCTGGCTTGAGTCCTTCGACGCCGTTATCGGCATGACCCTCGGTGGGAGAGCGCTTAAAGGCTTTAAAGGCTTTAAAGCTCACCCAAGTGGAAACGCCAAAGGCTGTGAACGGATAACCCGGATAACAATGGACGAGGATGACGAAGCTTGACATTGAGCTGCTGGGATTCAGTTCGTCTCTGAGTTCGTCTCATTCCTCTGGATTCCTCTGGAAAAGGACCCTGACCTCAAGGATCCTCAAGGAGCACAGGGCTCCGAGGCACCAAGGCTCCACCAAGTTCACGTCGATCAGATCGATGTGCAAAGCTTTGGATCTTATGACTGTAAGATACTGTAAGAACTCTGGAGATCGAGAAGGGGCGGATCTTATCCAAGCTGAGGCCAAAATAAGGCTCTTTGGATTGGTGCTAATGCTAAAGTTCTGAAAGACGTCGTGATCACCAGGAATTACAAGAGGTTGAGACGGTGACATGATCATGTTTGCTAGACGACTTGGAGCCAAAAGCAAAGAACCTGGCAGTAGGAGTCACTCAAAGCTTGGTTTCATGATGATTACTAGTAATGTAATGATTACTAAGCGTAGAACATGGAATTCAGCTGTCAGGTCGTGTGGCTGCCTGGGTCTGAACAAAAAATAGCCCCTTTTTCTGCAAGCATTCTGCTTCAATGGGATCTCAAGCACAAGATGTGGGTCCTAAAGATACCGAGATAGCAAGCCTTCAACTGTCCTTTAATGTCCTTTATATGGGCATTTATCTCGGAATCCATCCGCTCAGCTCGAACCATCTGGCCGGATAAAAGGGCTGGTTAAAACCGACAAACTTAGTGTATATACTAGATACTCCAATGTGTATGTGTGCGTATCTTTGTTTATAAAAATCTCAAAGTACGTCTGATATTACAATTGATTCCTTTAAGTTTCAAGTGACAAATAGAGGAGCACGGCAACTCTTTGCCAATGCCCGGCAGGTTGATGGTTTGAACTGGGGGCCTTAAACTATGCACAGCCCCACCGCCTAAACAATGCTCGAGACCATTCTCACAATAGCCACGGCAGAGTGAGTAGATACGTCCGGAGAACGCTACAGGCGTTTGTCTGTTTACCAAACGTTTGAACAAACTGCTACAACGTTTTCCCAAACCTAGATGTCTAGACCTAGACCTATACAAACAAGCGCCTTCGAAAGAGCTATTTTCACGGCTTCAGAGCAGTCTTCAAACAGGAAAGCCTCAGAATGCACACGATCTCAAAATATCTCAAAGTGCCGATGCGAACTCTGCTTTTTCCTCTGGAATCCTTCGGCTCTAGCCGAGCCAGCCGAGCCGCCCAAAACCTCTGAGGCTGTGACTCTGAGACCAGGGATGACCAGGGTACATCTTTGGCCCCTCATTGATCAGCACCTGGCGCACACGGCACAGAGGCACAGTGCTGTCACGTTGTGCCACAAATGGTGCTGCTTCGTGGCTCAGTGAGACAATACATCATACACATCAATACACAGTAATATGATGAAATATGTGTATATGTAGTCATATAATATTGTTATCATATATATTATATATAATAGATATATGATTCTGTAATATGCACAGTGCCATGCTTTTTTTGAGCTGCGAGACCGGCATGGCTCACCTAGACAGGCGCCCAGCAGCTGCGCAGCAATGCGACACCGCTGTTCATCATCTTCCAGGCAAAGTTTGCCCGTGGCGCGCTGTATGCAAATTGCCTGAAAAAGTTGAAAGCTCAGTCATGACAGGCTCGTACTATCTTGTACTACAGCAGATGGACAAAAAAAAACAAACCCCACAGACATCTACCAAGTAAAACTCAACACCCCAAATTTCAATCTTGAACAAAAACTCTATCTAGCTTCCTCTGTGCTCAGGGTTTGATTTTTTGTTCACCGGACCCAAGCGCGCAGCCCAAAGACAACATTGAAATTTGGGGGTGCGGGGGTTGACAGCAATACAGCAAAGAGTTGATTTCATCCTCCATCTATGGTAGCAGCAGCATAAAAGCTGAAAAACATTGAAAACAAGTTGAACGGCGAGAAGCATTCCAAAACTGCCATCGAGGAATTGCAGTGGTTTCAGCTATTTCAATGCCAAGAAGTAAGGCGGTGATTGTATTCTGGGAATTGGATTGCAAGAAACGCCGTTCCTATATAAACAAAATGTGCAGGTTCTACACAATGGTTCCAAAAGCTGAACAAGAAAGTTGGGCAACATCTCTTATTCTTCGTGCGCCCTGTAGGGATATCCAAGCCCACAACAGGCACTGTTGGTGTGCCAACATGAAATATGGAAAATATGTGACAGCATGGGCAGGAGGGTGTCAAGCCTAATCCCCCCTCGCTGCCTTTTCAGACACTTCGACTTCGACGATATCTTCCCATCGCACCTTTGTAAGCTTTCCTGAGCACAACATATTCCTGCACCCCAAAACACTGGTCTTGGGTCTTGGTTCAGTCAAAGTCTCTACTATGTGGCTGTCATGTTCCCTTTCGCGATGGAATTTGCAGAATGCACACTATTTTCATGTTCAGGATAGTGCTGGTCCCAGATCTGTCCGCTGTTTGCGTGTTTGCCGCAAACGTGCTGTCCAGCTTCCATTGCAAAGGTAGAGAAAATGTGCATCAGTTGCGGCTGCAATAAGGTCTCCCGCATCGTCCCTGGCACAGAGACAGGAGCACAAGATGTTGAAGAGTCTTGAAGAGTCTTGAAGAATAGAGAAGAATCGGATGATAATCGGATGATAATCGGATTGTTTCACTTCACATGTGGCGAACAGATGCGAACAGTGCCTCTTGCACTCCAACAACGACATGGAAGCCAAGCTGGGGTCGAGCAAGACCAACTGTGCCTGCCATGCTTTGGAGCACGAGCGCGCTGTGAAGACACATCTGAGCATCGTTGTGTCATGTTGTGTCATTCGTTCTTTTTCGTGCTTTTGATGATTTTAATGATTTTGTCGTTGCTTCATGGGTTTCATATGGCCTTGAGCTCAGCATCCCTTTGGTCGAAGGGTTGCATGGCTCTCGCTACGCCGTACAAAGGCCGAGGAGGACGAAGGCGGGCATCGCTGTCTGTGCGGCTTGCGGCGTCGCCTTAGACATGGAATGCCCTCAAGAGTTCCAATCATTCCAATTACAATAATATTGCAATATATTATATAATACATGATAATACAATATAATACAACAATATATTGTATTACACAATTACGCAATTCTACCCTTGAGACAATAACGGCAAACACGGCAACAAAGTGAGCAATCAGTAGTTGTTTCATATTGACGTCATATTGTTTCATGTTATTTCGAGCAATTATTTGCACAGAACCAAGTCATTCACCTGGATACCCTCTGGGGCACTGGCGCAAGCTTGCAGAAGTCTCGCGCGTCACGTCCAAACAACCAAGCGTAATGCCACCCAGGCAGCCCACCACACCTGTGGCTGCATACCGCAGAGTTGAAATACATTGAAATAAAGAGACTTTGATGAAGAGATATTAATAGTTCGTAGCCTATAACGAGGGATCAGGTGCAGTTTGTAAACCTTGACCGAGATCACAAAGCTTAGCAAATCTTGGCATATGCCAAAAGCTAGATCCGCTTTACTCAGATGTCGACAGAATGTCATCAGCGCCATGTCTACTTAGTGGGTATGCTAGGACATCAAGTCTAAAATGGATGCCAGGAGTTGTTCTTCCACCTCGATCTCAACATCGTCGACCCTGAAAATGTTCTAAAGCAAGGATTTCTTCAACTGCAGCTACGCTTTGCCCAGTGCCAAAGCTTTGAGAAGATTGAAAAGATTCAGGGCAAAAGATGTGCAAAAAGACTTAAAGATGTGCCAGGAGCACCTTGTGTCGTGCCTTTTGCACAGCCGCGTAACCCTGCAGAACGGTAGCCTTTCACAGGCTGTGACCAAAGGCCTCTGATTCCAAGCTGCACCGAGCCTCAGAAATGACGTCCACCAATGATGATGCTACTCGCTGCTACTCTGACTTCAATAATTGCAGTTTGAAATTGTCTTGAGACGCACTAATTGTGTCATAGATTTATCATAGCATATCTGCATCATATCTGCATCATATCAGCCTTAGTTCTTCTGTCCATCGCAATCCGGATATTGCCATTTTTGGAGTCTCAGGCTTGAACTATCTTGAACTCTACTGACGATGTGGACCATGATGTACCATGATGTACTATGCATTACTATGCTAAGGCTTCTAAGGCTTCTAAGGCTCCGAGCCAAAGCAACTACACGTCTTGGGACCACCAGGTGGTTGACGAAAATCCTGACAGATCTGACAGCAATATCTTGCCATGTCTTGCCAGGGCCTTGCAATTCATTACCCTGGAAATCTGTCGTTTTCAAGGCCAATGCATACCATGTTTAATCCCGAATCCAACATCTCCAATCTCTCGGGTCGACCTTGAGAGTGCTCCAAATTTGTAGATAGATGTAGATAGAAATCATTAGAAATCCAAACCACATCCAAAGCAATGTGACATGTGATCCATGTTCTTCATGACTTTGCCCTTCATGTCCCTGCCTGTGGGAGGCATAGTCGACAACCCTGTGACGCTGCACCAGTGGCCTTCGCTGCAAGCACAAAATCTAAATGCAAACATCAATAGCAGTTCCGATGACGGAAACAGAAGAGCGTACCTACATGGTGGGTGGCATTGACTGTTAGAGCGCGGTGGAAAACACTTCTGAATCGCCAGAAATTGAATCGACTGATGCCCCAGATTGCCAAGGTTGTAAATCTTCCACAATCAAGTCCCAAGTCAACTGCTGATTTATGGTTGTGCGTTTCACCAAGTCCATCATGTCCCAAGTCAGTTCGACAATCATTTGCTCAATCGACTCAATCTTGCACTCGCTTCAAATTCGGAACTCACTCCCTGACCTCCCTGACCTCCCTGACCTCCCTGACCTCCCTGACCTCCCTGACCTCCCTGACCTCCCTGACCTCCCTGACCTCCCTGACCTCCCTGACCTCCCTGTCACTCGCCATCACTCGGTGTCACTTACTTCATCTCCGAGCCTTGGACGTGGAATTGCAACACTCGAAGAAGCTGTTGCGTCCACAGTCGAAAATTCCCACGAGGCATTTCTCAAGGAAGTCCTCCAAGCAGCGCACATAAACAATCCGAAAACAATCCCAAGCAGTTGTGCAAAGGGATCAAGAAGAGTTCTCAAGTAGTGGCAGAGAAATCTTTAGCTTTAGATGGTGCAGGCTGAGTTACAGATGTTTTGAACTAGAGACTATAGTGACTATAGTGACTATAGTGACTATAGCTATATATAAGACCCTTGGTTCAAATGCAATTCGATGCACGTGATTAAGGCATCGGAAGATTGCTATTGAGTTCTTGCACTGTGTGTTTTTTTAGACTTGGAGACTTTGCATCAAAGCCATCATCGGGGTTAGAGGATCGATATGGATCGATTGCCTCTTTTCTTATTGGAAACATTGAATTCGTGGCATGCCGTTGGAAACACAGAGCCACTTGTCGTTCAATCCATGTTAGACGTCATAGAAGCCTTCCCTTTCAAGTTGTGTAAAGCAGGGTCCAAAGATCTTTCGACATATCAGTAACTTCATCAAAGGACTTGTATTGGTCAGCAACCCTACAGAGAATGGCCCTCCTTCACTTTTTTATGTAAGGACAACCCAACTTGTCAGCAGAATTTCTTGACATTGCAATGTTCACAGAGACTTTGTCTGCAGATGTGAGCACTGCATAGAACGCGTGGAATCGACAATTTGGTAAGTTCGGTCCGACTTTCGGTCCGTTCCGTCCTCCGGGGATGTTGCTTTGTAAGGTGCACACAGAACTCCCTCCTCAGCATGGCAAAATGTGCCAGGTCAAGGAAAAATGACTCGGAACTCGTCTCAAATAGTGTCAATAGCCTGAGTTTTTGTTAACGTTGGGTCAGGGAAGTGTGGCAGAACAGGGTAGAATGGGTAAAACACATGCTTGTCATTGAACACATGCTTGTCATTGAACACATGCTTGTCATTGCTTGTCATTGCTTGTCATTGCTTGCCACTGAAAACAAATCCTAAATAAAGATGAATGAATCCTGATTGAATTCATGAATTTATTGATGAATTTTTGGATATTTTGGATGATACAAACATGATCAAGGCGATTCCGTCCTTGCAATTCCAACAAATGGAGCCACACAGGCTCGAGGGCATTCCAAGGACTTCCAGCCGTCCCACGAACCACATGAGCTCCTGAGAACGAAAGCTGCACGAAAGCTGCACGAAAGTCAAAATATGTCAAAATCCTTTAGAATGATTTTCACATCTTTCACATCTTTCACATCTTTCACATCTGTCACATCTGTCACATCTGTCACATCTGTCACATCTGTCACATCTTTCACATCTTTCACATCTTTCACATCTTTCACATCTGTCACATCTGTCACATCTTTCACATCTTTCACATCTTTCACATCTTTCACATCTTTCACATCTTTAACATCTTTCACATCTTTCACATCTGTCACATCTGTCACATCCTTCACATCTTTCACATCTGTCACACATCTGTCACATCTGTCACATCTGTCACATCTGTCACATCTTTCACATCTTTCACATCTTTCACATCTGTCACATCTGTCCATCTGTCACATCTGTCACATCTGTCAATCACATCTTTCACTGTCACATCTGTCACATCTTTCACATCTGTCACATCTTCACATCTTCACATCTTTCACATCTTTCACATCTGTCACATCTGTCACATCTTTCACATCTTCACATCTTTCACATCTTTCACATCTTTCACATCTGTCACATCTGTCACATCTTTCATCTTTCACATCTTTCACATCTGTCACATCTGTCACATCTTTCACATCTTTCACATCTTTCACATCTTTCACATCTTTCACATCTTTCACATCTTTCACATCTGTCACATCTGTCACATCTTTCACATCTTTCACATCTGTCACATCTGTCACATCTGTCACATCTGTCACATCTGTCACATCTGTCACATCTGTCACATCTTTCACATCCTTCACATCTTTCACATCTGTCACATCTTTCACATCTGTCACATCTGTCACATCTTTCACATCTTTCACATCTTTCCCATCTTTCACATCTATCACACCTTTCACATCTTTCACATCTGTCACATCTGTCACATCTTTCACATCTGTCACATCTGTCACATCTTTCACATCTTTCACATCTGTCACATCTTTCACATCTTTCACACCTTTCACATCTTTCACATCTTTCACATCTTTCACATCTTTCACATCTGTCACATCTGTCACATCTTTCACATCTTTCACATCTGTCACATCTGTCACATCTGTCACATCTTTCACATCTGTCACATCTGTCACATCTTTCACATCTTTAGCATCTGTCACATCTTTCACATCTTTCACATCTTTCACATCTGTCACATCTGTCACATCTTTCACATCTTTCACATCTGTCACATCTGTCACATCTTTCACATCTTTCACATCTTTCACATCTTTCCCACCTTTCACATCTTTCACATCTTTCACATCTTTCACATCTTTCACATCTTTCACATCTGTCACATCTGTCACATCTTTCACATCGTTCACATCTTTCACATCTTTCACATTCTTCACATCCTTCACATCTTTCACATCTTTCACATCTGTCACATCTGTCACATCTGTCACATCTGTCACATCTGTCACATCGTTCACATCTTTCACATCTTTCACATCTTTTCACATCTTTCACATCTTTTCCCATCTTTCACATCTTTCACATCTGTCACATCTGTCACATCTGTCACATCTGTCACATCTTTCACATCTGTAACATCTTTCACATCTTTCACATCTTTCACATCTTTCACATCTTTCACATCTGTCACATCTTTCACATCTGTCACATCTGTCACATCTGTCACATCTGTCACATCTGTCACATCTGTCACATCTTTCACATCTGTCACATCTGTCACATCTTTCACATCTTTCACATCTTTCACATCTTTCACCTCTTTCCCATCTTTCACATCTGTCACATCTTTCACATCTTTCACATCTGTCACATCTTTCACATCTTTCACATCTTTCACATCTGTCACATCTTTCACATCTTTCACATCTTTCCCATCTTTCACATCTGTCACATCTTTCACATCTGTCACATCTTTCACATCTTTCACATCTTTCACATCTTTCACATCTTTCACATTTTTCACATCTTTCACATCTTTCACATCTGTCACATCTTTCACATCTTTCACATCTTTCACATCTTTCACATCTGTCACATCTTTCACATCTTTCACATCTGTCACATCTTTCACATCTGTCACATCTTTCACATCTTTCCCATCTTTCCCATCTTTCACATCTGTCACATCTTTCACATCTTTCACATCTTTCACATCTGTCACATCTTTCACATCTGTCACATCTTTCACATCTTTCACATCTGTCACATCTGTCACATCTTTCACATCTGTCACATCTGTCACATCTTTCACATCTTTCACATCTTTCACATCTTTCACATCTTTCACATCTTTCCCACCTTTCACATCTTTCACATCTTTCACATCTTTCACATCTTTCACATCTTTCGCATCGTTCACATCTGTCACATCTTTCACATCTTTCACATCTTTCCCATCTTTCCCATCTTTCACATCTATCACATCTTTCACATCTTTCACATCTTTCACATCTGTCACATCTTTCACATCTGTCACATCTGTCACATCTTTCGCATCTTTCACATTTTTCACATCTCTCACATCTGTCACATCTTTCACATCTGTCACATCTTTCACATCTTTCACATCTTTCACATCTGTCACATCTGTCACATCGGTCATCTTTCACATCTTTCACATCTTTCACATCTTTCACATCTGTCACATCTGTCACATCGGTCATCTTTCACATCTTTCACATCTTTCACATCTTTCACATCTTTCACATCTTTCACATCTTTCACATCTTTCACATCTGTCACATCTGTCACATCTTTCACATCTTTCACATCTTTCACATCTTTCCCATCCTTCACATCTTTCACATCCTTCACATCTTTCACATCTTTCACATCTTTCACATCTTTCCCACCTTTCACATCTTTCCCACCTTTCACATCTTTCACATCTTTCACATCTTTCACATCTGTCACACCTTTGACATCTTTCACATCTTTCGCATCTTTCACATCTTTCACATCTTTCACATCTTTCGCATCTTTCACATCTTTCACATCTTTCACATCTTTCACATCTTTCACATCTTTCACATCTTTCACATCTTTCACATCTTTCACACTGTCACATCTTTCACATCTTTCACATCTTTCACATCTTTCACATCTTTCACATCTTTCACATCTGTCACATCTGTCACATCTGTCACATCTGTCACACCTTTCACATCTTTCACATCTTTCACATCTTTCACATCCTTCACATCTTTCACATCTGTCACATCTGTCACACCTGTCACACCTTTCACATCTTTCACATCTTTCACATCTTTCACATCTTTCACATCTGTCACATCTGTCACATCTGTCACATCTGTCACACCTTTCACATCTTTCACATCTTTCACAATCCATCAGCAATTCTGAGAATCTTTGGACTGTCAGAATCTTTCAGAATCCATGGCCTGCGCCCGCTATGCAGAATATTGCATTCCTGTGCTCCGAGATTTGGACGGTCCTTCATGAACTGCTTGGAGTAGTGGCCTCTCAGCAGTGAATAATGTGAATATGTACAGAATACATGTGAATCCATCTTGAATATGTTTTGAATCTGTACAGAGTACTCTGAAAGACTCCAAAATCCGAGGCCTTGTAGTGTGGTCATGAAATTCGCTGCATCTGCAGTGGTTTCTTGGAGGGTATACTCTTGGAAGCCTGGGCAAGGGTGGGCAACACATCACCTGGCACCCTCCAGAAACAGGCGCAAATCGTGAGAAGCAAAACGCCGAGTTGCGAAGAGCGAAAGTTTAAATCTAAACTATAAAAAAAATTAAAGGAAGTTGGGAAGCAATACTTCCGAGTACGAATGACTTTTACTTGATGGAACTGACTATGATGAAGGGTGGTACGTGATCTAACAGTACATAACATAACAATACACAACAAAAGAATAAGAAGCGGTGGAATTGACCTTGATGAAGGGTGGTAGATCACAAAACAATACATAACATAACAATACAGAACAAAAGAATAAGAATCTATGGAGTTGACCTTGATGAAGGGTGGTACATCACATAGAATAAGGAAGCTATGGCACAGGGTGGTGACGAAGGGAGGTGGTGACGATGGGAAGTGGTGAGGAAGGGAGGTGGGGACGATGGGAAGTGGTGAGGAAGGGAAGTGGTGAGGAAGGGAAGTGGACGAAGGGAGGTGGTGACGATGGGACGTGGTGGTGACGATGGGGAGTGGTGAGGAAGGGAAGCGGTGACAAAGGCAAGTGGTGAGTTGGGGAGGAAGCCGGAGCACGAAACCTTGTGTTTTTCCGTGTAAAGTGGCTGCAGCCGGCGATGAAAGGCACCTCGTGTGTGCGCAGGTGCGGCTGCGGTCGTTTCATGCGCGAATTGTTCCTCCTATGTGTTTTGCAACGAGTGGTTGTGTCTGTGTGCGTAGTTCTATGCGGTTTTTGAATCTCTGGTTGCAGATTGCATTGGAATGACTGCTTGATTGTCGTCATCTGATGTTGCCACGTGCGTAGATAGGTGCAGGTTTGCTACGGGATGCTGCGAAACGCATTGTAATGGCTGCATGAATGTTGCATGGGCTATGTTTTGGGGAGGAAGCTGGAGCACGAAACCTTGTGTTTTTCCGCGTAAAGTGGCTGCAGCCGGCGATGAAAGGTACCTCGTCTGTGCGACGGGTGCGGCTGGGGTCGTTTCATGCGCGAATTGTTCCTCCTATGTGTTTTGCAACGAGTGGTTGTGTCTGTGTGCATAGTTCTATGCGGTTTTTGAATCTCTGGCTGCAGATTGCATTGGAATGGCTGCTTGATTGTCGTCATCTGATGTTGCCACGTGCGTAGATAGGTGCAGGTTTGCCACGGGATGCTGCGAAACGCATTATAATCGTTGCATGAATGTTGCATGGGCTATTTTATTGGGGAGGAAGCCGGAGCAAGCTTCGCTCAAAGACCGGTCTCGCAGGGCCAAAACACCATGGAAGTGCACGAAACCTTGCGTTTTTCCATGTAAAGTGGCTGCAGCCGGCGATGAAAAGTACCTCGTGTGTGCGGCGGGTGCGGCTGCGGTCGTTTCATGGTTCCTCCTACGTGTTTTGCAACGAGTCGTTGTGCCTGCGTGCGTCGTTCTATGCGGTTTTTGAATCTCTGGTTGCAGATTGCATTGGAATGGCTGCTTGATTGTCGTGATTTGATGTTGCCACGTGCGTAGATAGGTGCAGGTTTGCTACGGGATGCTGTGAAACGCATTGTAATGGCTGCATGAATGTTGCATGGGCTATGTTTTGGGGAGGAAGCTGGAGCACGAAACCTTGTGTTTTTCCGTGTAAAGTGGCTGCAGCCGGCGATGAAAGGTACCTCGTGTGGGCGGCGGGTGCGGCTGCGGTCGTTTCATGCGCGAATTGTTCCTCCTATGTGTTTTGCAACGAGTGGTTGTGTCTGTGTGCGTAGTTCTATGCGGTTTTTGAATCTCTGGTTGCAGATTGCATTGGAATGGCTGCTTGATTGTCGTCATCTGATGTTGCCACGTGCGTAGATAGGTGCAGGTTTGCTACGGGATGCTGCGAAACGCACTGTAATGGCCGCATCAATTCTGCATGGGCTATGTTTTTGGGGAGGAAGCCGGAGCACGAAACCGTGTGTTTTTCCGTGTAAAATGGCTGCAGCCGGCGATGAAGGTACCTCGTCTGTGCGGCGGTTGCGGCTGCG